AAGAATTATGAACTACAAACGAAGGGTCTGCGTGAAAAGAAAATTAATTTGCATGCCCTAACAAAATAATTATGAACAAGATCAAGTACTTATTGATTTTTACGGTGGTGGTTTCGATTAAATTTTCCTTTTTATTTGTATTTCATCATGTTTTGTGATTAATTTTAAGGTAAAAATTATTTTATCACCTTAAACTTTATTTTTTATTTTATTTACCTCTACGAACTCTTTATTGTACTATGTTACTCTTCTTGAATTTAATGTCATTTTTATATTTCTTGAAAGTACCCTTTGTAATCTATCTTGTTGCATAAATAATTTTTTCTTATTTCACCTTTTATCATTGTAAAGTTTGTTATTGTTGACCTGCCTCGTTTTGTATTTTGTCATTGCAAAGTTTGTTGTAGGCAAAAATAGGGTACGATGGCGAGCATGGACACAGAAAAGATAGTAAATAAAAATTCAAAATGGGAATTGGTGAGCAAATAGTTTAGAAAAATAGGCCGATTGATGCAGAATGACATTTTTTAAATAAAAATTGAAAAGTCGTGTGAAAATATAAAATAGTAAATTGTATTGTAAAAAATTTAGTAAAGAAAAATGTTGATTTAATAGTGTAACGACCTAAGAATTACTGATCTAAATAACTTATTAAATCTGAACCACTAGACTAAAATATTTAAACTCAAGTTATTTAGTAGTAGTTTAAAATTTTTTATATACCATATCAGATACTCTAAGAAATCGATGTGGGACGGGATATCACAATCTTCTTCACTTAAACACTTGACATCCTTATTAAGTCAGAAATCCGTATTCGTATTCAAATAGAACAGTTTCAAAAATTATTTTACTCTAATACCATTTGTAATGACTTGAGGTTAAGTCAAAAATATGTATTCATATTCAAATAAAACAGGTTCGAAAATTGTTTTCCTCTAATACTCGAGATCAAGTTAGAAATTTGTATTCGTATTCAAATAAAATAGGTTCGAAAATTATTTTGTTCTAATACCATTTGTAATAACTAAAGATCAAGTCAAAAATCTGTATTTATATTCAAATAGGATAGGTTTGAAAATTGTTTTGCTCTAATACCATTTGTAACAACCAAAAGCTATTGATAAAAATAATTTGTTGAGTTTAAACCATTTGTTCAAAATGTTTAAACTCAAGTTATTTAGTAGTAATCTCAAGTCTCTTATATATTACATTAAGTTACTTTTAAAAACCGATGTGGGATGAGATGTCATAAATTGTATTAATTTTAAGAGAGTAAATAGTACAATTGAGAGTTTAGAAAAGTTTATAAAAATAGTTTTTTATTTAAAATTGCGTGTTTGGATAAATTTTAAAAACTAGTTAAAAAGTCAGATTTCTAATCAATTTTAGAGTTCATATGTAATTTTTTAAAAAAAATAATCACTTTCAAAATGGTATTCTTCTAAAAAAAACTTATTCAAACACTTCCTAAATGATTCTCACATTTTTTGGCAATCTCATTTTAGTATCTTAAATTTAATTTATGTTAATTCTTAGCGTTATTAAGTAAAACATAAAGAATTATATTACACATAATATGGAGTATTTGCTTCTACCATACTTAAATTCGGACGTCAACCTCTTGATGGAAAATTTGGGTCTTAGAAAATCATATCTTTATCAAAGATTAATAACGAAAAAAAAGAAATAATTACACCAATAATGTCATGTACACGTGGAATATTGAAAAATATTCCTTGTAAAATCACTTAGCGTGTGAAACGGAGAAACACGGTCAACGTGTCACCTTGACGAGCTTAATCTCCAAGTTTGTTAATCTAACAGCTAGGCTATTGAGCTAACTTCTCAACTCAAAATTTGAAAAAATAAATAAATTAAATGACGATTACATCCTTTCTCCTTCGGATAGGCGCACGATTAGTTTGCATATTTAATTCTGAGAAATGTTTGTCAACTTAATCAAACAAAGGGCATAAACGCGAAGTAGTTAAGATTGGATAGATTTATTTGAATTTAACAAAAATATGTCCGGTGGCGGAGATTGCAAATCTAAGGGTGGTTGAGCTGTCAGTCAATTGCAAGACAAAGCCAACTAATTTAGAAAATTAAAAAAGAAACACCAAAGTATTCCTTTTTCAGATTTTAGCACCCTGGATCTACCCCGTATATCCTTTTTGGCCTTTAACGACAAGGGCCAAGAATTTCATGTCATATCTTTTACCATCAGATATTCCAGCTTCTATTGGGAAGTGAACGGCCGCTCGGCATCCCAAAAAATTTTAGATTTTTTAAATTTAAAAATTAGAATTAGATTAACTTTATCCGGGTCATTAAAAGCGCCGCTTAATAAATGAGTATTTTCACAAATTTAAATTTAATTTTTTTTTGTAAATATAAAAGAAAATAGATCAATTAATATCGGTATAAGTGTAAAAAAACTATACTATTAATTTGGTTAAAATCAATGAATGAGATTAATTACAACTGTTTTCTAATAACTTCCAATAATTAATTTACAGTTAATTAATCTGATCATTTGATTTTGACCAAATCAACGGTGTAAGATTTGATGTAAATTTTTTACACTTACACTTTGTGTCGATTGATCTCTTCTTATATAAAAATATCTATAGTTTAACTTTTTTAAAAAATTTAGAACTTTATAAAGTCATATTATCAAACCACCATAATTGACTCTATTTAACATTATTGTGAGTGTTTAAATTTACTTTTATTAATTTACTCTTTATTGTGGATAATTTTGACCACTTAAAATAAATTTAAATAGAAATTTTTAATACAAATAAGAGGTTAAATGTAATTTTTATTCTTCTATATGAAAAAAATAAATAAACCAATTAATCAAATTTTGAGAAAGTTCATTGAAATTTTTCTTTAGAAATTAAACTTTTATATGTCCATATTTTGAGAAAAAATATTTCTTATTTTTCATTTCCATTTCCATAAAAATGAATATCATGATTTGCATTTTAGAGAGGGATGAATACAATATCTATAGATACAAGATATTATTAATATTGTCTGGACAATTAAACATCCAATCCATAATTGCAAGCACCCAATTGTTAAGAGACTAACTTTACCAAGTTATACCCTTAATGAGTTGGGCGGAGCACGTACGAAAGAGTCACATCCTTCTTCTATTCTTTTCCTTATTACAACTGAGCCATTTGAACTTAAACAAAAGACCTCGGTTGTGAGTAAACCATTGCACTTATGATGCAATCAAGCATGAATAAAGTAGTTTAAAATTGAAATTAAAATATTATTTTAAAAACTTTAATTCAAAATTAAATTTAATAATAATTTCATCACGTTTATTTCTTTGTAAATACTAAATATTGTAATAAAGTAAAAATAAATATTAATTTTCATCTCAAAATGAAATTATAAAGTGGGGAATACGAATATTTCTCCATTCTAATAGCTATTTTCATTAAATTACTGGTAGGTGTTTTTTTATAGGACTTGGAGATAAGATTTTTACAGTATAGATTTTGGTTGAATAAATTAAAATGAAATAAATTTGTTTCATCAGAAGACCATTCACATCCTTGAAAAATCTCACCAAACTCAAACTCAGCCAATGTCCATTGAAGTTTCAATTGCCCATAAAAAGAAAAGCTTGCCCAAGCTGTCACTGGTCTACCCTTTTTGGAGTTATTTGAGAAGAATACCTCAACAAAAAGACGATTTTGTCCCTCTCATACATTATATATATATAATTATATATAGGTAAATTACTAGAACAATCAGACCCTTTAAAGGGAAATGGTTGTATAAATTTGTACGACTGTTTGTTCTTTAGGAAGAATTCTAAGTTGTTTGGTTTATTACAAATTTTTAATTTTTATAAAAAAGTTTGGAATTTGTATCATATGTTTTATTTTGAAAAATAATTTTTTATATTTAGTTATTTAAAAAATCATATACAAATATAAAAAGCATAAAGTAATAGCTTTTAAATATTTATCTATTTTCTAATATATCTCCTATTAAATTTTGAAAAGAAAAAACAAAACGGGCACAAAAAAATTAAGTAAAATTACATTCTAAAAAATTAATTTTAATTTTAATTTTATTATTTTTATGTTAAGGATTTGGAGTCCTTCATTTCAAAATGAAGAAAATTTGAGCTAACTAAATTACTTCACGTGCTTGACAATTTCTAAATTTTCCCTCCATCATTCAAAAATTAACTAAATCACTGCCTTCAATTTAATTAGATTAAAAAATTATATTTACACAAGTAATAATAGAAATATACTCGTATTTAAATAAAAATATATGTGGTAATTATTAAAATAGATAAATAATAATTTTATAAGTTAATAAATATTAAAATTTTTTATCAATTTTAATATATAAATATTCCGAGTTTCCAATTATGGAGGGTCTAGATTTTCTTTTAAAAAATTGGATTTAAAAGTTTGATTTAATAATTATTAAAAATTTAATCTTAAATGATGAATGAATAGTTAAAACTAATTAAAAATAGCAAATAATAGCAATGGAATTGGCAAGCGATTAAGCATTGATCAACCGGTAATGAGTTACAAGATCCAAGATTTGAGATATTGCTCGTCACATGGGCTTTGTGGGTGACACATTTGTACTGCTAGCTTTTATTTCCCGTGTTACTTCTACGGCGAATAATTGAAAATTTAATTTTATGACAGGGAAAAAAAAAAAAAAAACAGACACCATGGAAAGAACCAAGAAAGAAGCAGAAGCTACCCCTCCTGATTGTCAGTTGTTCTTTACTACTCTCCATCATGATGCCTCCAGAACTACGGCCCCCAGGTACAGATCTATACTCTCTCTCTCTCTCTATATCTCTCTCTCTAGAGTCTAGACTGCTGACGTAGAACTGCAACAAACTCGCTCGGCGCTTTAATCCTGCTCTCTCGCTCACGATTATTCATCGTCACGTTCATTCTGCTTCTGGAGATGGTTTTGGCGCTGGATTTGTAGATATGAGTCGGAGTTTGAAGGAGTCTCTGGTCGGCGGGAGGAGCATTGCGTCGGGAACGCAGCACCGGCGAGGTACTAGTCTATCTGGAATGTCCAGAGATACGGACGAGAACTTGGATCTGTTCTCTAGGAATCGCCGGAGTCTGTCTGTCGTATCTTCCGACGAATCGGACGGTACGGTTTCTTCCTCTGTTCCGCTCTGTCGATATCTTAATTGGCTTCCTGTGGAATAGAGTCCGTTCTTCAGCTGTGATATCTCAGTAAAGTCAATGCAGTTTAGGTGGTTTATTTACTGATGTAATGTATAGTTTATGTAATGTTTGTATGCATCTGAACTTGTTTTTCAATTGTGGTTGTCGGCTTTCGGCGAGCAGTTTTCATCTCAGGTGGATCATTAAGTAGAGTGAAAACGATAGGGGTGGTTTTTTCTGGCATCTTTTGCTAAAGCTAAACATCCGTCACGACGCCGTTTTGTAGTCGGTTGGACAGGCAAAGCTTGCTTGTTCAAGGCTTCAAGCTCGTCAGATGTTATGAATCTGCAATAGTCCTTCGTCTTTCGGATTTTTAACTAGAAATTTTAACATATTGGGCCTCGGAAATATTTCAGTACTTCGAAGATTAATTACTGTTCTGTGTTTCATTATGGGATCGCAGTTTCAGCGAAATTGGGCAGACTGTCCGTTGGACCAGCAAAATTGGCTAGGAGTGGAATGGATGATCTTCTATCATCAACCGACGCAGGAAAGCATGACTATGATTGGTAAGATCCGTTCATATGCCTTCGATTAAGTAGTTAACCGTCATTATATGTTTTCCATTTCCAGATCTAACTTCTTAAATACACAATCGCTCTCACTAATAACATAGATCCAGCTGGATTAAAGTAATAGAAATTTGCGAATCAGTGTTATTCTGGTAGATCTAAATGCAGATTCTGCCGATACATTAATTTGTAGTACTTGTCCTTTCCTTTCTCCGATTTTTGGAAATGATTAATAAAAAGCCTTTCAGAGTGGATGCTCCTTTGAGGATCAAGAACCATTTCTATTTACATGCTTGCCCAACTTATTTTCCTGATTTGGATTAACTACGTATAAGCTTACATCTTCACCGTAGTTGTTTACTAAGAGAATCCAGTCGCTAAGCAATCTTTGCTTTATTTCACTTCTATCATTATAGATAATATTAGCAAAACTCCACTATTTAACCGTTGTGTCTATCTCAGTTGGCAACCTTATGTTGCAACCAGTCCCCATGTGTACCCTGCAATTAATGTAATCAAGGGCTTGCCTGGTCAAATGCGCAGGAATTTAAACTTTATAGATAGGGAAAAAAAATGAAAAATAGCATCATATGGAAAAAATATTTATATTTATTGTTCAATTGCTTTTCAAAAGATATTATAGAATTTATTTCAATCACATAATTGGCATAGTATTAAAATGTTCCGACCATTACGCACCCAAGAAATACATTTCTCAATGCATTATTTTATAAATAATGTTCATGGATAATTGACAATAGGAGATGAAAAAAACGGATGCATAAAGGGTTGATATAACGAAGTGCCATATAAAAAGGAAAAACTAGATTTAAAAAAAAAAAAAAGGAAAATGAAAAGCAGAGCACATCAACTAGAAGGCTTGTTGCATTTGTCTGTTTTACACTCTACACACTAGGGTCCTCTTTGTGCAACACTACTCTCTCTCTCCATGGATATTGCATTTCAATGTACATTGCACCACAACCTAAGAAATTTCTTGATGAAGTAAATATATATTGCATTCATATAATAAATGAATGAAAAGAAACAGACAGTTCAAGGGCAGAAAGGAAAATGAGCCTGGAAATAATGGAGAAAAATGCCACGTGAGAAAGGGTGAAAATTTCTCAATGAAAGGAGAAAAATTGAATAGTATGATGGAGAAGAAATCCTTATCAGCCAGTAATCATATATTTTATGTATATTGGCAGTTTTTTTTAAATAAAAAATATTCTTTGCTAAGGAACTACATAGATATGTGTGCATATTGAACTTGACCTTTTTTCTAGTTTCACACATTCTAACTCTTGGCATTATTCATTGAATGGGTGATATGTTAGAAGCATTGAGTATTTGTTGAGAGCTTCATTTCCTTGAGCTATTTGTTTTGTGTCTTTTTAATAATAAGGACAACCTTACAAAGTAAGAGCATTTTTCCCTTCTTTTACCCATAGGGGCACTCATGAAAATGGCTCAAATATAAGGAATGCCTTCATCTGTTATACAAACTAGGATGAAGGCATATTGTCTGCCTACAGAAGGGGGAAAAAACACTCCATCACAAGTCTTGTTGTTCTACGTCCAAATTGTCAAGTATGACCTCTTGATATTTCTAGCAATGATGTAAATCCCAACTTGTTGAGCGCAAAATGCAGAAGTTGATCCCCCTGGGATTCTGGGAAGCTAAATAATTTAGTGGGATCTGCACCTTATAAATATTCCGCTTTGTTATGATGCTTTGCCATTTTAGGAAAATCTTGTGTGCCTTGAAGTATCGCATGCATTTTTCTGAAATTGTTCAGACTAGGTTTACGATTTTAAATTGATGAAAATTTCTCCAAAAAAACACTTGTGGTTTAAGTTTGCAGTTGCATATTGCAGTATTAACTTGTTTCTGAATATGATTTAATATTAAAACAGGTCTTACTGATATTCTTAATGTATGTTCTCTAGTCCCCACGTTTTTCTAAATATAGAAGAAGGGTGAACATCTTTCAGTTTTGGTTCTTTGCATTTCTTTGCAATATTTCTTCTGGTATGACAATTGCCTTGATGAAACTTGAATCAGAATGGAGTGTCTAAAACCATCCTTTATTATGGCTTTGTGATCTAAATTCATACCATTTCATGTTAACAGGCTTCTTACTCCTCCTGGAACCCCTCTTTTTCCTTCCTCAGATGGAAGTGAGCCTCAACCTCCCTCTGCCGCTCCAAGGATCAATTCCTTAGTTAGATCAGTTTCTACTACTAAGGCTTCAAGGGTATAGTCTTTGTATTCTTATAGAGTTTTAAATATATACTAAATCATATCTAGTGCACTGCCCTATGCTTTTATCATGTGATGCCTTTGGCTATGGAATAAGAAAACTACCTTGACTGTTTGCTGTTTGGAAACTGAGAACATGGCCTGACATCAAACTTGCTGATTGCAAAATCAATGAATATTATTGAAGTTCAAAATGGCATGGTTGTGGCTTGTTCAATTTGCAAATTGAAAATGGCATGATTATGCTCTTATAGTTATTCAATTTCAGTTGTATATGCCCGACCTCAAAGAGCAAGCCCTTAATTCTGTAAATATAAGGCTGGGGATTGATGGTTTTATTGCTGGAATCTCATGTTATGTTGTATTAAAATTTGTTATGTGGCATATCTTGTTTTTCTGAGAAAATTTGTCATACAACTTTGGGAAAATGTTCCATTTTGTACCAAAGATTATTCTAGTCCTTGGTGATGAATTAGTCCAACCTCAATTGTAAACTTCTTTTTACTCCCATATATCAGGGAGCACTGAAATATAAATGTTGGTAAGTGTTTGTGGAAACTTAAAAATTGAGCTACTTAATAAAAGACAGGCATAAACCTGTTTATCCAAAAGAGGTACAAAACCTATGTAACCTGTTTGACGGTTTTCGGGCTGGCATTGATCACATTGCTGTAATTTAGCTTCTATCCATGTTTTCCACACCGAACTTTTTATGATACCTTGGTTTTCTGTTTTAAAGTAGTTTATATTTTATGCAGTAATCTCAGTGGAAGATCAATAACTAGCAGATTGCTATTTCTTTTTTTTTTTTCCTTGCTATTAATATCCTTTCTCTTTCAGTATGTCTCTTGTTAAGATCTTACTGAGCTGTAGACCTCAATTAAATAATTCTTTATTGATTTTAAAGTGACATGTCATGCACTCAGTTTGGCAGCTACAAATCATGAATGACCAATCTTTTAATTTCAGCTTTCAGTGTCACAGTCAGAGAGCAATCACACTTTGAGGCCAATCAGAAGCAGTTCGGTGACTCGCCCTTCAATCTCTAGTTCTCAGTATAGTACCTATTCTAATAAATCTACATCGATCCTAAACACGAGCTCAGCTTCTGTATCTTCCTACATAAGACCATCCACCCCCAACCGTCCTGCAACAAGACCATCCACTCCATCTTCCCGTCCCGTTGCATCTCGATCCTCAACTCCGTCTAGAGCTCGTCCAGTATCCACAAGCTCTTCCATCGAGAGGAGTAGACCGTCACAAAATTCAAGACCTTCTACTCCTAATTCTAGGCCCCAGATATCTGCAAACTTGAATACCCCCACAACCAGGTCAGCTTCTCGGCCAACAACACCTACCCGTCGGCATTCAGCACCTTCTTCATCTCCTGCATCAGCACATTCTTTATCTCCTGCAACGGGATCTGTGTCGTCTGTTAGTCGTGGTCTATCAAATGGGCGAAGTACACCAACAGTATCCCGACCTAGCTCCCCAGTCCACGGGTTAGGCCACCACCACAACCAATAATTCTTCATGATTTCTCACTTGAGACACCTCCAAACCTCCGGACAACATTGCCAGACAGGCCGCTGTCTGCTGGTAGGTCCCGGCCAGGTGCTGCTATCACTGTAAAGGGGAATACAGAGACCCCGACTTCTTCAAACTTGACTAGAAGACAGCCATCACCAGTTGCCTCTAGGGAAGACTCACAGAACCCTCTGCAAGGAGCCGGCCTCATTCCAATGGGCAAGCTGTTGATACAACAGAGTCTCGTAGGGCATCACATGTCTCAGATTTGTCAATACGGAGGCCTGTGAAGACTTCGGCAACATCCACTGAGAGTACAGGATTTGGGAGGACTATCTCAAAGAAATCGCTGGACATGGCAATTAGGCATATGGTATGCATATTCTCTTCCCTGTTTTATAACAAATTTATGACCATAAATTGTCAGACTTGCTGACTGCCATAGCTATGATGTTACTTCAATTGCTAGAATCACCAGTAATCCTCATCATTGGTACTGTCTTCTCATGTATTCAGTGTCACCGTTAACTTCTCCACGATACTGTTATTAGCTTATTCACATTACCTTTATTAGCTTCTTCACATTTATTATCTGGTAAGTATTCAAGTTCTGTCACTTATTTTAGCAAGAGAAAGAGACTTGAATTTGCAAACTGTTTTAGTTATGGAGACAACTC